AGGACACTTCTAATCCTGGACAAGAATCCTGAAGCATCAGAGAACAGTTGGATGGGCAGAGCTAGCGGGGTACATTAATTCACTAGCCTAGACAAACGCATAGAAGACATCAGGTTTCAGGGGGAAACCTCTGGCACGTGGAGACTGTAATTTGTTGCCTACCAGAAGCTGGGAGAATATAACAAGGTAAGATAATACTTGCTTGGTCTTGCGTTATTCTTTAAGTAACTTGTCTCAGGCATCACTCTTTGGTGGTATTAAGCCAGATGGTCTGGCCTTGTGTGGTAGTTTATCTCCTCTTAAGATCTTTTTAGGTAAGATTCACTTCATCTCCCTTTGGATAAGGGTTTCTAAAGTGAAGAAACCTACACCTGAAGTTGTCACCAAAGGCTCTCATTATGCTGAGAATCGGACGTTTTCAGGACATGATTCATGCAAACTAGTTTAGACACTATTGTGGTTAAACTCCAGCCAGCATCCAAGCCCCAGGCAGCTGCTCGCTCCCTCCCCTAACAGCAAGATCGAGAAGAGAATTTGAAGGGAAAAAGATAGAAAAATCACAAATTGAGATAAAGACAGCTTTGTAGGGAAAGCAAAAGCCATGCACACAAGCAAAGCAAAATAAGGAATTAACTCCTGCTTCCCATGGGCAGCCAGGTGTTCAGCCACCTCCAGGAGAGCAGGGCCCCATCACGTGTGACGGTTACTTGGGAAGACAAACACCATCACTCCAAACATCCCCCTTTCTCCTTCTTCTCCCCACTTTATATACTCAGCATGATGATATATGGCATGGAATATCCCTTTGGTCAGGTGGGGTCACCTGTCCTGGCTGTCCTGGCTGTCTCCTCCCAGCTTCCCACACAACTTCCTTGCCAGCATGTCAGTACAGAAAGCAGAAAAGGCCTTGGCTCTGTGTAAGCACTGCTCAGCAATAACAAAACCTTCTCTATATTATCTATCCTGTGTTCAGCACAAATCCAAAACACAGTCCCACAATAGCCACTGTGAAGAAAATTAACTCTACCCCACCCAAAACCAGCACAGACATCTACCTCAGAATGAGATGAATCATACTCTACAAATGTTTGTTTCTCTCCATCGACTACAAAGGCAGCCAGAAGTGATTATTTTTATTGTAGATGTTTATACTGAGTCAGATGAATTTCATCCATTTTATTTTTTTTGTCCTCTGCTATCAGAAGAAAACTGGTTAAGACTGAAGCAGAGCAGAAACGAGGCCAATTAAGCACTGCAGATGCACATTCATGGCAATTACCCACACCACATTATGAACTATGACTTCCAGGGATTCAGAAGAGAGGCAAATGGGCTCATATGGCACAATTCTTTTTATGGTTTAACCATGCTAAGCAGCTAAGTACCATACAGCCATTCACTCACACTCCCACAGCAGGATGGAGGGGAGAATCAGAAGGGTAAAAGCGAGAAAACACGTGTGTTGAGGTAAAGGCAGTTTAATTATTTGAAAAAATGGAGGAGAAAAATTGACAACCAAAAAACACATGTGATACAAAAGAAAAATAATTGCTCGCTACCAACCTACTGATGCCCAGCCAGTTCCTTAGTAATGGCAACCCCCACAAAACCTCCATCCCCCAGCTTTTATTGCCGAGGGTGACACCACATGGTCTGGAATATCCCCTTGGTCAGTTGGGGTTGTCCAGCTGTGTTCCCTCTCAGCTTCTTGCACATGCACTCACTGGTGGAGCAGTTTGAGAAGCAGAAAAGACCTTGACTCTGTGTAATCACTCAACAGCAACCAAAACATCCCAGTGCTATCAACACTGTTTTCATCACAAATCCAAAACATAGCCCTCCACAATCTTCTATGAATAAATTTAACTCTCTCCCAGCCAAACTCAGTACAAATCAGAATAAGGAAAACCTCCTGTAGGTACCATCTCCACAATGCTTGAGTGAAAATTTTTAACTGCATTCCTGGTCAGGATATCTATGGTATAAGGAAGCTCTTCCTAGGATTTCTCCAATAGGTATTGGTGAAAAGATGAGAGTGGTCCATTCTGGCAAAGTCTGTCAGTTAGTACTGATGGCAAGTTGAGTTATATATATATATATATATATATATATATATATATATATATATATATAAACAATATACCTAAACTGCAGAGAAGTGAGAAGACTTTCTTGCTGTCAGTTCAGGCAGATAACTCCTAGGGTTTGCTTTTCACATGGCAACTACAAGTAAAACTGCCTGCACATACATTGTCAACATACAGGCAAAAAGCTGTCAAAACATTGTATCATGCACATTTAAATGCAAACAATCAAAATTTCCCAAGTGCTAGACTGTCCTCTGTTTTAAGCAAAACACTCCACTAAAATCATTGTGGTTCTGCTTAAAAACACAAGAGTAAGGTCAGGTACGCAGAATTTCCACCTTCAGTGATGGTCCAAATTTCTCCTGTGCCTGAGTTCAAGGCAAAAAAGATGTGCTGTTTCTTCTGGTTTGGATTAAAAAATGAAAAATAAATATTTTTCATGGAGTCTTACAGGGATTTTGGCCTTCCTGAATCACACTGCATCTGGATTTCTCCACCCTTTTGTTTAGGTAGGAGACTCAAATGGAACTCACTAGCACAACCTTTGGCATCTCCAAAGCCTTGGCAAACTGTTTAGGCTAAATAGGTCAACAGGGTGGAGATAGCTCCTAAAGCATAAAACTGTTCTTGAAAGTTGAAACATCACCAGCTATTTCTATCAACATGTAGGTTAAGATCAGATTCTCATGAAGCATAAGAAAAACCTGTTTTGCCAATGTCCCTTTGGATTGACATAGGTCAGCAATCCTGAATTAGAGAGAGGTGGTGGAAAAGTCTTGCCTGTTGCAGCCCCAAAACAAACTTTAAGAGGTTTAAAAGGAGGAACTATGAACGATAAGGAGCGTGTTCTGGACTGTAGTGTTGGCTGCACCACTAGAGGCAGAGAGGCAAAGGCAAAAGAGGTGTGGCTGAGCCCCGTAGACATGTATGATGTGACTCCAATGTTTATGGAAAGAGAACCACAGCCAAATATTTGGAACCTGATGAGCATTCTCAGCTACAAATAGCAGTTATTTCAACAAGCAAATAGCCTTCATACTAGATTCTCTGGACCTTAGGTTCCTCTGTGTCCTGTCTTATTTCCTCATTCAGAATCTTCTTCCATCACTTACACTTTGTAAAAAACATACCACAAATGCTTTCAATATATCAAACTAAGAAATTTCCAGATGCAAGGTGGTAGGAGCAAAACAGATAACCTACTCCTTCCTCCATCTTTAACATTATTCTTACATTAATCATACAAAAAAAAAAATGTTTTTTGAGCAAATTACAATTTTGGTATTTACATGCTACAAGGTAGTGATAAACCAAATCATCATCTATGTCAGCAAAATAGCACCTGAGGGTAAATGACATCTGAGTAAACTTGCTCCTAAAGCGTCATTCATCCCAAATGCCTCTTAGTTTTAATGAGCAGAACAAGGACTATAAGGCTACTGCCCAAATTTCTTCTAACTAAGTCGTGTTAAATCAGGCTCATCAAAAAGCTCTTTGGACATAAAACCACAATCTTTGTTCATCAGGCACTGCGTGGTCACATGATGTCTTAGTTTCATACAGTTTCCTAAAAACTACAACATTCAGATATTCAACTAGGAGCCTATTTTAACAAAGGAGACAAACACAGATTATTTAAAATATTTATGTTTTAAATTATTAGCACAACAGAAAACACAGGTCAGTGATATCTGTCTACATATAAATGCAAGTGTGTGTTTGTTTGAGAACATATTAATAGTTAAAAGGAATAATTATGGGAGGGTCATTTTGTTTTAAAATGGCACATGGCTGGATATTCATACAAAATTTGGGATGTTCATGGGCACTAAAGAATGAAGAAACTGACATTGCTGGTATTGTTTATACTTTCAATTTCATCCAACAAACATTTAACAAACATTTACTTTTTTTTATTTTAAAGTCTCTATTGCTTTTTTGTCTAGAATTCTGCTGAGTTTATATACTCAGACTTAACTTTGTTCACCTCATTTGGTTCACTCATGATTTCAGTGCTGTCACATGTAGAGAATTTTGCATTGGCTGCACATGTTTATATAAATGGGTTTATATTTTTAAACTAGCAGTATACTACTAAATTATGTGAAAAGTCCCAGCACATAAACTGCTGTCTGAGTACATGTGTCTATAAGTCCCAGTAGAACATGAAAAGTGGCTAACTTCCCAATATATAGACACATACCAATTTTGTGTACTCAATACATTTGCACTAAGAGTTAGATTTTCCACTCTAATGGGTCTATATTTGAAAATGGTAAAGGAAACGGCTAAAAAAAAGGGGGGGGAAGAAAAAGAAAAGCTGATTGTAATTCCTTAATCCCAGGGGATGTGAATTTATAAATAGGTCCTTTTATTTTCCACTGGATGAACAGCCTTGGCAAACATATCTCAGTACTAGCCTGCTCCACTCTTCACGTATGGCAAATGGCTTTCATTTATTTCAAAGGTGAAAACATGACCAATGCACAAAATGCTTCCATAATGCCATGAACTTTCTGCAGGCAGAGGATTCCATTGCTGCAGAAAAACCTCTGCTGCTTGTTCCACTAATTTTAAAATCACTTCATACTACATAAGCAGACAGAAGGATTTAGCCAAGTCTGTTCTAGGTAAAGCATTGAATACCAGAGTGAGCTGAGGTTACATGTTACTAGGATAAATAGAGACATATTCTCAGCTGGCATAAGCCAATCCAAAAGCTACATTCATTTAAATTATCAGAGTATCTGATTTTTTTTAATGGATATTATGTCCATTGAAAAAATGGAAAACTTAATCAACTGAGTCCTTGTACAACATCTTGTGATCAGATTGTAAAAAAAATGCAATTTAGGAAATGTACTCCCCAACACTGAATCATACTGTAAGGACATTAATGGATGTAGCTCTTACTTTTAACTGCATGCAAGACACAGAGGATATGCTGTATCATGCAACAGGAGAGATGTCTAGTTCCAGTCACAGGTTCTGATGCAGGGTTTCACAGTCCTCCATTACAGCACTGGAAAAGAGTTTATTTCCTGAGTGGAAGAGACAGGAAAAACTGTTGAGTTCATGAAAATGCAAGAGAAAATGGCATTTTAGGGAGTTTTGGCCAAATACTGTGACTAGATCCTTTTGCTGAGACCATCTGGGGCATTTTGGCCATTAGAGCAATGACTAACTGTTCTAAACTTTTTAAAATATATTTGCAGTACTATAACCAACACAAGTATTATTGTTCTTCCATTCTCAACATTGCCATCAAAAATGGGCATCTTTTAAACTTAAATCTGATGTCTGATTATTTGGCACGTTAGGTCCTGGTCAAAGCATTAGCACAGTCTTAAAATTACCAATAGCATTTGCTCTCTAATATGTATCAGGGAAATTAATGTCCCCAACACAATGCCTATTAAAATTATTCCCACATTAATGTTAAAGGGAACACTGGCAACATGTAAAACTGATCTTCAATATCTGTTCATAAAATAATTTTCTTAATTTCTTCCCCAGACAGAATATCTACTGTCTTCTATGCATGCTCCTTTTCCTCATTGTTCTTCAGCATTCTACATCTAAACATGTATCATGCCTGCTCTGTGCATTTACTTCTCTGAATACTGTATTCCCTTTAACAGGTATTTCTCAGTTCTTCTGACTCTTCTATTATGTCTCTTTTTTCTCTATAATACTTAAATTCATGTAATGTATCCATTGTTCAGATTCCTTTGCTTTCTTTTCTAGTTTCTTTACCTTACTTCTTTGAGTCTTTACCTGTTTCAATTTCTTTCTGATTCTATTTAGTTCTCTAGCTAGATTACATGATTTTAGCTGCAGCATCCACTTGACTGTGACTCTCCTCATTATAAAAATTTCTCTTTATTCCTTTTAGTGTTCTTTTGTTTTACAATAACTTTGTACCCTTTAACTGTATTTTTGCTACCCTTTACCTAATTTCACTCTTGCCATGAAAAAAAACCCCACACATTCTCTCTGCATTTATTTGTTTAAAACTTTCCTTATGAATTACCGACTTAATTCCATAAACTGGAACCCACAAACTGTCCCAGTAGCCCAGTTCTTTATGTTATCATTGCTTCTTTCTGTTACACTAGAAAAGATAGCAGTGCTACTTAGGTTCCCTGCTTTGCTTCTCTCAGAATGCTACCTCTCTGGTCTAGTAATAACATAGCAATTTTGGTTTTATTTTTTCCCACCATAAACACTTTCTGTCAATTTGTATCTACTTCCATTCTTCCCAGTACCTATAAAACAGTATGCCTTTTTGTGCTCTGGGCCTGTTCTGGTGTCAAGCTGTTGATTCTTCTTAGTGAGGAATACCAATCACACAATCCTGTACATTTTCCACGAGGGCCCAAAGAGGGTTCTTCCATATGTTTGAAACTCATTTCATCTCATCTGTACTTCTCTTTCAAATCAGGTGTGAATAGTCCATTTTCTCCATTGGGTTCTAATCCACAGCTATCGTTCATACTCATACCTTATTTTCTTGTACCAGCACTCTCTTTCTCTCTTCTGCCTTCCTGTTCTACCTTCCATGCTTTCTTTACCATAGTAGCTGTATCCTGTTATCCTATTTCTCTTCTCCTAGGTAGTACTTCTTGATGTTGGATATTTCTTTGATCTCCCTTTCCACCAAATTCTGTTTTCCACATCTGCATCATTAAAAGTTATATGCACCTCTGCAATTACTTCCACCATCTTCTCCTGTTCCATCATGTCCCATCCCTGATGTTGGACTTGTCTTATGGTTACACTTTCAGTAGTCCCAGGCTCTCTCCTAGGAATGTGAGTAACATTTCAGCCAAAAGTACCTTCTGCCATAAATGCTCTAGAAGATAATACTCATCTCATAAATTCTGCAGCTGGTAATCTTTGTCTCCTCTCTTACTTGAGGCATTGATGTCTCTCATTTCCAATCCCTAGCATTAACAAAATATCAGGGCAAAATGCGAACTCCATCACATAATCCCTTCCTGTATCTTCCTTAACTTTTTTTATATTTTACATTATCTAAAAGAGTAAAGAGTGGTCCCTCTATGTAAGTCAAAATCTGTAATTAATGGGGTCAAAATTTTCAAAAATAAGAGTTTAAACTCCCAAGCCTGTATTTGGATAATGGCTTGAATTTCCCAAATGCATGGTTCTCCACATCTCCCAGTGATCTAGATCATTAGGAAACTGAACTGGAGCAAAATGCACTCTTCAGGGCTTAACTTCAAGCACCTTAAAAAAAATCTTGACCTAAGACCATCTACCAAAATTCTTATAATTTAAAAGAACAAACATTGCCCCTATAAAATATGTAAAGGAAGAAGTGCCTGCAACACTGGATCTTTTATGCGCATGGACAGGTAATTTTTAAAAAAGGTTCTACAGGAAAACACAGATGAAAAAAAAAGCACAAAATCCACTCCATGATATTACTAGGAAGCTTTGCATTTCTAATGGGTGCAGAGAGCCCAGAAAAACTAAGTTAGTATTGATAGGCAAATTCTGAGCGTGGAATATCCATAGTAGTACACCTGCAAGTTAATGTGACTCTGAAATTATATTAAACCTGGAAGTGACAAGTAGCTCTCCAAAATGAAATAAAATACCATGGCCTCTTACAACAAGGACTGCAAATGAATTATACAGTCAAACAGTAGCTGAACCTCCAGTTACATAGGGAAAGGAAATACAATACAAACCTGACTATCACATTTCCCCATGATCCTGTTCTAGATTTTCTTTTACCAGACAAAAGTAACAATGCTAAATTGAGACAAAGAACATTATATTAACAGTACAGCATTATGATGCTAAGAAGCAGTGACATTTTGAGGAGGAAGTCTACTGAATATTGGAACACCCACCTTCAGGAATGTCCAAAGCGCTCTACGGAACAGAACTGAGAAGGAAACAGTGCCAAAAAGCTCAAAAACACAATGATACAACTTTGAGATGTCTATGTCAGACATAGAATGTATCCTACCAGGAAAAGAGCATAATCCTTGCCACATAGGTATACAGAATGTATTTTTAGCATGTCTGCAATTCCCAAGAAAGTCAGTGGAAATTTCCAGCCAATAAGAAGGGTTCCTAGCTCCTTTTCCCAAAGAAAACTTAAGAATGATTTGGTAATGGATAAATGTTATTAAATATTCATTCTTAGTATTATTTTCTTCCCCCTTGTAAAGTAAAAGTTAAAATTATTTGGTGAGAAATCATAGCTGTGAATAGCTAGTTATTGTTGGCATCACCCCCAAGCATCACAGCATTTTTTCCCACCTACTTTGTAGCACAACTAGCAAGTCCTTGAAAATTAATGACCTACTCAGATATTTTGACAACATTTTGTGAAGACTGGAATGGTCTTTACTGCTGATATTGAGGGATAAGCAGCTATGCAGAAACAAGAGAACTCCAGGAGAAACTATGTAAGTGTAAGAATCAATCCTCTCCATCTTTCCTCATCACCAGCACAGAGGAATCAGTCATTGACTTCGGACTTCTAACATGAGCTACTAAACTCCAGTCTAAAGCTAATATTCTAGTAAAATGAAACACACTTAAAATCAAATTCTGATGAAAAGTGGTGAAAAAGAAGCTCACAGTGACTTTTTTTAGTTTGCCTATTTTTGTGTCTTTTTCTCTTACTATATCCAGAATCATTTTTTGTGCACACACATACACAAATTCTGAGAGTAGTAAATGTTATTCAACAAGGCATCAAGAATTTTTTTTTCTGGCAGAACCATGCTCAGTAACTCGTGCTGCTTATAGCACAATATATTAATATTGCACAATATTGCACAGAAGCATTAACCTCTCAAAATTCTTTGTGTGAATAAAAAGGATGCACTCAGTTACAACACTCTTCACAGGAACTATAGTGGCACAGGAACTGAGCAGACAGATCTCTCTAACAAGAGAGTGAAACAAAGATATTACCTTCTTTCGAGGGAAATTGTTGCTATTTATGTAGCTGCATTGAACATTTACTGAAAAACTGCTTTAGATAGTATTGGTCATGGAAAAGAACTTCATTGGAAATTTAAGTATGCAGGTCTCATATTCTGGTAAAAATATTTCAGACTCAGTGTAATGGAAGACCTGTGCTAATCAGAATCTGTTTATTTACCTCATAAACCCTCTTACACCTGCAAAGGTGTAAATTACTATATCGGTTACCAGGAAGAACGGATCCAGGCCCAAAAATTAAATACAGGAGCATGTGGGAGTGTATGCACAATCTGAAACATTTTCATATTTTCTGAAATGTAATGAGTTCAAATAATTATGGAATTGGGAAACAAATTATCAATCTGTTTTCTATCAGGAAGACAATTGTATCAAGAAGACTCACTTGGAGCCCAGTGCTGAGTAATAAACCACCCATGCAGTTTCCATTTTTGACTTCTCGCTTTTGGGGGGGTGTGTGAAATAAGCTGCAGATGACAGTCAAAAGCACAGTCTTTGGTAGCTTCTTTCCAATGAATATATTCTCCTGGACACTTGATGTTCTATATTTTTACAGTGTGAAAGTAAAAAGAAACAGTTGTGCAGTTTTACAGAGGTTTCATTTGAAGGAATAGCATGATGGTTTCATTACTGAGATGGCAAGTACAGCTCAATCTAGTCAATATGGAATTTCCTTTTTCCATTCTCTAGATATAACAGGATACAACAGGCAGTGAAATGAGCACTTAAGTCACTGGGGGTTTTGTACAAATCTTTTTAATTCCCCTATTGCTCAATTTTGCAGTTGTTATGAACTTGCCAACCTTTTTCTTGCCATAATTCCTGCAAAAGAAGGCCCTTAAATGCAAAATATAATAAACATAACCTTTAGCTGCCTTCCATGGATTGCCACCCATAAGGCTAGGAATTGGGGAAAAAAAAGTATTAATAAAAATAATGTGACATTTCTTTAAAGACACCATCTAATAGGCTAACTAAATGTGCTAACTATGGGCATGGTTCATGACACCATGACATTTTATTCCCCACAAGACTTACTACAGCAAGAAAC